GACACCAAAGAAAAGTAGCTAGTTTCTGGGCTAAAAGTCAAAATGTCCTTGGGCCTCTTAGCAACATACTCTGTTCCAAAGGCCAAAAACGTCAAAAGTATTTTAATGTCTTTATCTAATCCCTAAAAGATTTTAGGGTTAGCTCTTCAGAGGGGGGAATGTTGGAGGGAAGGGAGTGGGCATGGATTTGATCCAAACACCTTATATGCATGTATGAAATTCTCAATAAAGCTTTTGCAAAAGTTAAAAAAAATAAATTTTTTTTTTTAAAAAGCAATCAGCCAGGCATGGTGGCACACACCTTTAATCCCAGCACTTAAGAGGCAAAGGCAGGCAGATCTCTGTGAGTTCCAAGCCAGCTGGGGCTGCAGGGAAACCCTGTCACAGAAAGACCAAAAAGTAAAAATAAGAAACAAAGCACTCGGGGCTGGAGAGATGGCTCAGCAGTTAAGAACACTGGTTGTTCTTGCAGAAGACCTGGGTTCGAATCCTAAGACCCACATGGCAGCTAACAACTGTCCATAACTCCAGTTCCAGGGGATCCGACAACCTCTTCTGTCCTCCACCGCGTTGCACAACATGGTTGCACTTACCTACATGCAGGCAATACACGCATACACATAAAATGAAAATAAAAATTTAAATAAATGAAATAAAAAATAAAAATAAAGCACTCTCAGGGCTACGGTGGGGCTTGATGGCAAAGCTCCTGCTGGGCACATCTGAGGCCCTGGGTTCCATCCCCAGCGCGCGCGTGCGCGCGTGCACACACACACACACACAGCCCCCCCACCCCACCCCCAAGCTCTTGCTGTATGTGACTTTACTCTGGCCTTGTTGCTGTGCTGCTTGGGTACAAAGATCTCTAGCTCCTTGGTTTGCAATCTACCAGGTCACCTGACTGCCCTGCCCTGCCCTTCAAATCCACCTCAAACACTCCATTATAGGGTCCTTAACAGGAGCATGGACTGAAGCTCTAGGGAGACCCTGTCTCAAAGACAAAAGCAGCATGAAGCCAGGCGTTTCTAGCCTAAAGCCAACAGCCTCTAAGGAGGGCACTCCGCCACCCCATGGCTCCTGCCACACCTGCACTGTGTCCCACTCACACCTATCATTCACCTCACCCTTTGCTGGCCTCTCTGCTCAACATGGAAGGTCACTAACCGCCAAGTCCTACTGGCATACTCCACAGTGGCTGCTGCCATCATCCCTCCTCTCCACCAACCGCTCTTGGAGACTAGAGGCTGCCTGGAAGCCCAGGATGCAAGGACTGCTTTACCTCATGCCTGCCTCTGTGCGGGACTTGCCTAAGTTAAAGGTAAACGCCCACACTGTGCTCTTCCCTCCTGGAGGCCCTGGCACTCAGATCCACAGCACCCCCATCCCCAGGCACCACCTCGCTTCCATCGGATTGCAGGGTTCCTGAGGCCCACAAGGGGCGTTCCTGAAGGTTCCCATCAGCCTTCTGTACTTACCCAAGAGCTAGTCGCTCACTCTGCAGCACAGGAAGGGCACAATGGAGAGTCTGCTAAGAGCTCACTCTGCCTTGGGAGAGCTCGCCTCAGCCCCACCAACTCTGGCCATCTCCTTTGGTAACGTTTCACCCCCCTGGACTTCATGCCACGTGTCTGTCAGTATTCCTGCAACCAGTGGGGCATGTGTCCCTGCTGCACTGCACTCCAGAGCTGGAGTGACAAGAACAGGCCTTGGACATTTACTCACGATTCAAAGGAAGACTCACTCACCAGAGGCCATCATAGCTACTGGAAACAATTAACGATCCATCACGATTAAAGTGTACCTACAATTTAGAGGAAAGAGAAGCTGATGTCCTAGTCACCTGCACCCGGCTTTGTGCTGCAACAGCCTCCATTCCCAGCCCCCTGGGCAGCACCACCCCGGTCTAAGTGACCATCTGCCCTGCTGTGGGCACAACCTGACATGATAATATGCCTTAAAACTTCCCTTACTTACCACAAAAAAACAAGAGATAAAAGTCAAGAGAGAAGTCAAGAGCATCCAGGCCTCCTGTAATGGTCCAAAGGCCAGGGATTCTGTGCCCCCCACTCAGCCTGTGTCACTGAGCCCCCACAATCTGAGTCTGACACCTGGGTCGTGGCCACTGCCACAGGATAAGCGGGATGGACCCCTGGCTTTGAGGGAGCAGCCATGAGACACAGGCCACTCTAAACCCATCACTGTGAGCCCCCGGTGGTCTTGAGGTGACTCCAGGCCCTCTTGTAACTTACAAGTTCACTGTTTACGTTTCATTTTTTCATCTTTTTGAGAAGGGTCTCCCTGTAGTCCCAGCTGGCCTGAACTCACTATGTAGACCAGGCTGGCCTTGAACTCACAGAGATCTGCCTGCCTGTGCCTCCCCATGCCCAGCTGTTTACCTTTTTGAGGCAGGTCTCATGCAGCCCAGACTGACCCTGAACTCACTATGTGGCTCAGGCTCACCTAGCCACCTCCTGCTTCTGCCTCCTAAGTGCCAAGACCACAGGCGTGCACCATCATGCCTGGGTTCTATACAGTACTGTGGATGGAACTCAGGCCTGGTGCGTGCTAGGCAAGCACTCAACCTACTGCCTCCTAAGTGCCAAGACCACAGGCGTGCACCATCATGCCTGGGTTCTACAGTACTGTGGATGGAACTCAGGCCTGGTGCATGCTAGGCAAGCCCTCAACGTACATGCACAGGGTTCTGTGCAGGACGGGACAGCACGTGAGACCTGGTGCGTGCTAGGCAAGCACTCAACCTACATGCACAGGGTTCTGTGCAGGACGGGACAGCACGTGAGACGTGGTGCGTGCTAGGCAAGCACTCAACCTACATGCACAGGGTTCTGTGCAGGACGGGACAGCACGTGAGACGTGGTGCGTGCTAGGCAAGCCCTCTGTCCACCAGGCATCATCTCCAGACTTGCTTTCTCATTCTTCATCCAAGGGAATTTTAGAGCCAGGAATTAAGAGTCCATCACAAATTCTGTCACTTCTATTTGTGTCTTGGGCAGGTATGACCCAAGATAAGCCCTTTTACAAATAAAACTGTCTTACTGCATGGTATGGGGACACAGTTCCTCTGTGAACAGGAAGCCCCTGGTGCCACAGCCCAGGAATGAGGCTCAGGCCACTTCCTCCACCACCCAGACCAGCACTGGTGACATCTGGGAGGGCCCATGTTGGACATGTCCTGTGCAGTGCAACCACGTCCCTTACTCACAAAGTGCCAGTAGCATCTAACTGTGACAATCACATGTTATGTCTCCAAAAGTTGCCATACACACTGCCAGAGGCCCCTGGAGGACTACCTGGACTCTGGTTTCTAAATTCCGATTTGGGGGTCTGCTGTAGGGCCCAAGACAGGGTCTCACTATACAGTCATCTGGACTCCTAAGGGCTGGGCTCACAGGTGTGCACAAACACTTGTAGCCCCCACCTCACAGATTCCCAGAGACGCTGTCATCAGTGGCCTGTGGACCTTGCCTAGAGCCCACCAGGCTGGACTCTATAGAGCACAGGTCCACAGGGGTCACTTTCTGTTGCAGCCAGCCACACGCTGAATCCAGAAGCAGCAGCCACTCAACTGTGGCCGCTCAGAGCTCCTTTCCTCTGCTCCATCTATTGACCCACGTCCATCCTGTCTCTAGTGTGCAAAACACTCTCATCAAGGTCACCACCCCACAGGGTGACGAGCCAAGCTGCCCGGCTTTTCCATGCAGCCCATGCTGAGGCTTGAGGTGGCATGTAAGAGAAACATCGAGTGAACCCTGGGGCAGCGGCCCCGCTGGGATCTCACCAACAAAGGCTCTCTGTAGACTCGACTGCAGTGAGAGTCCAGTAGATGGAGACAACTCACGCTGCAGGCTGTGCCTTCAGTGGAGGTCAGTCCTGGCTCATCACAAACTCTAAGCAGCAGCAGAGGGGGCTGTCCAGTCCCAGCACCACAGGTTCAAGTATCCTGTGAGTGTGCTCAGCAGTGCCAACAGGCTCCTCTTTGATAGAAGCAGTTAGAAAACTTTCTTCAAGACTACCCAGACAGCCAGGTGTGGTGGTACCACCTTTAATCCCAGCACTTGGGAGGCAGAGGCAGGTAGATCTCTGTGAGTTTGAGACCAACCTGATCTACATAGCGAGCACCAGGCCAGCTGAGGCCACAGCTCAAAAAAAAAAAAAAAAAACGAGTAACTGGCCATACACCAGGCATGACGGTGCACACCTTTAGTCCCAGCACTCAGGGACAAAGGTAGGTGGATCTCTGTGAGATCAAGCCCAAACTGGTCTACATAGCCAAGCCAGCAAGTGACTACAGGAAGACCCTGCCTCCAAAAAGAAAGTCCTTAGTCAAGTGTCAGCCCACTGTGGGTCCCAGGAAGTGTGAGTGTACAGACCCCAGGGCGCCTTTGTGAACTGGAAGGGAAGCAGCAGCAGGGACAGCCCATCACTCAGGATCAAGGCAGTGCAGGAAGGCTTGGGGGGGCGGGGGGTGTTCCTAGCTGACCGCGGGCAGACACTGCGCTTCCTACACCTGCTGCCTTCCAGGGTGGAGCACACACCAATTCCTACGACACTGATTGAACCCCCTTTTTTCCTTACCCTGCAGCTGCCCCAACCACCGCCTTCTCTGTGCTCACGACGGCTCTTAGTCTAGCTTGCTTTTCTACCAGTGGTGCCCCGGTATAAAAATCAGATCTACCTCACGATGACCGCACGTGGCCCTAGGACTGGAGCTGCCAGCAGGGATCAGGCTGGGCCAGTGTGACTCCTGCACGCGTCACCTCAGCAGCAGTGGGGCCTCACACTAGCACTGGCACAGGGAAGACTCGTGCACACCAGGACATCTAAGGCTGAGACACTTAAGGTACTACACTGCCAGGGCTTTAGCAAGCACTGTACCTGGTCACAACAGACACCCAATCCTGCCATCAGAGCAGAGGCTATGAAGGTCCCTGTGCTAGGGACCTTCAGGCCCCTACGTTTTCGAGGGTCACAGACTAAGCCTGTGAACTCAAGAATTCTAAGCAAATGCTGCCCCACTGGGCTATCTCCGTAGTCCTGAGCTTTGTTCTGAGATTAAGTCTCACCCTCGATGCTACTTTTTGAAATGGACAATTTGGGCTGGGGCTGGGGCTGTGGCACAACACTAGTCTACCATGTATGAGGCACTAGGGTCAATTCCCAGCACCATATAAATATGTATACAAACATACGTGCATATATAGACACATACGCACACGTATGAGACGTGGTGGTGCACACCTATAACCCTGAACTCAGAAGATGATGTAGGATGATCAAATAGTCAAGGTTATCCTCAGCTACACAGTAAGTCTGAGACCAGCCTGGGCTCGTACACAACACTGCTGCATTTGAAATGTGTGGTCTGAGGCTTGTCTCCAAGGCTTGTCGCCTGTTTTGCATAGGGACCGCGGCCATGCAGGAGGACTGGGCCATACAGCACTAGCTCACTGAGGGTCCTCACAGCTGGGTCACACCCTGCCCCAATCAAAGCTACTCCACCCGGTCACCTTACCTGTGTTCAGTGCCCAAGGTGTGGGCACTCCCTCTTCTCCAAATACACCCTTGTAGGCCTGGTCCCCCTCCTGGGAAAGGTCATTCCAGGACGACCCCTGAAAATCCCTGGCCCTCTACCTCCCAGCCCACACAAAGTGCCCCAGGATGCTCCCCCACCCCACCCACTCGCCAGCCACAGCATGCAAACACATCAAGTCCACCATCTAGAGGGACCGCTGCTGGGCATCACAGTAAGGCACGGTACGTCGCGGCAGGAGACTTACAGCTGAGACGGGGTCCGAGTGTGCAGGTAAGGTCTTGAGGCACTTCCCCGTCTTAACGTCCCATATCCTCACACTCTCATCAAACTAAAGGTGACAGGACACTAAAGTGACTACAGGACAGTTGAGTGCCAAAGGTGGGGTCCCTGAAACCCAAAACCAGCCCCTCATGGAAGCCAGCCTGCCCTCCCCATGCTGAACACCAATATGTGACAGCACATAGCACAGCACCCCGGAGGAGAGCCCCGCGCACTTACAGACCCTGAGACGATGAGGTTGGACTGGGGGTTGAAGTTGCAGCAGAAGACGTAGTTACTGTGGCCTTTCAGGGTCTTCAGACACTTTCCCTAGAGCACAGCACACAAGCCCTGTGACTCCCAGAGGCTGTCCCCAGACACAGCCAGCACATCTGACGACCTCCCAGAGACCAGCCATCCCCACACCCAACTCATCAGCTGCAAGGCCTCGCTGGGAAAGGACCACTGTCAGTTACCGAGCTCACGTCCCATATCTTCAAAGTTTTGTCATCAGAGGCAGACACAAGGAGGTTAGAATCTGATGACCAGGCTACGTCAGATATTCCCTTGGGGAGGAAAACACTGTTGGTTACCACCTTGTATGACAAAATCCAACTGACCAGTAAAAGATCAAACACACACATGCACCAGGACCCCAGGAAATCCTCCAACCAGCAGGACCCTGAAGACTACCTATGCTTTGGATGGGCCGTTGCCCACCTGGAGGTTCAGAGTGCTTGCATAGAAAACCTGAGCGGCAGCCAGGGTGGTAGCACAAGCCTGAGACAGAGGCAGGAGGCTTGCAAACTCTAGACCTGCCTGGGCTATGTAGCGAGACCTTGGACCCACAAGTCCTAGACAGGCCTGACACACCAGCACCCAGCCACCCTGCTCAACAGCCAGCGCACCTCACAGGACACCTACCAATTTGTGACCAGATATGGTTTTCTCAAACTTTCCATCATAGGCTCCCCAAATTTTAATGAGTTTATCAGCAGCTGAAAGGCAGGAAGAGGAGCTGGGGCTCAGAACAGGTGGCAGCCACCCAACCCCCAGCACTCAGGGTCTCCCAACTCAGCCCAAGGAACCAGCACCGTGGCTGCGTGGACTAGGTGTGACACATGGAGGTACGCCCCCCTCCAACCTCCCAGCTCTTCACTTCAGAGTGGCAATGGCATGTGAAGGGACAGGCCTCATGGAGGGGACATGGCAAATGCTAAACACAGCCCAGACCACCCGTTCACTGCCCAGGAGCTGGAGGATACGCACACGAACTCGCCAGCCACTCCCCGTTCGGACTGAACTTCACAGAGGACACGGCTTTGGTGTGGCCAGCCAGGGTGAACTTCAGTGCGTAGTTCGGTTTAACAGGTGTGGGCTGTGGGAGACAGTACAGCTCAGCCAGAAGCACCACCACTGCCCAGTCACCTCACTCGATTCCCAAAATGTGATCCAGTACTAGCTAGCTCCAAACTCACACGAAGAACCCCCAGAGCTCCATCTGGTGTCACCCTGCGTGAGCCTGCCCTCACTCCCGTCAAAGCCCTCTTTCCCTGGAGTCCCTACCAGACACACACACACCCCATGTTACAATCAGGACCAGGAATCTGCATTTTTTTTTTTTTTTGGTGTTTTTGAGACAGGGTCTCCCTATAGAGAGAGAGATTCGCTATAGAGGCCAGGCTGGCCTCAAACTCAGAGATCCGCCTGCCTCTGCCTTCCGATTGCTGGGATTAAAGGCATGCGCCAACAGAGCCGGCACAGGAATCTGTATTTTATATATCGCCCTGCCCCACAATCTAGGTAATAGGCCTGGAATCCCGAGTTGCTGGGCAGTTGCTGCACTGAGGTCAGGAAATCAAACGGCAACAAACCTAGGAGACTGAGGTGCCAGGACTATCGGCCTGGAAACAATATCCCCAAGAATCTCCCAAGTATCTCTGACCCAGAGGCCTCCAGGAACATACCTTACTCTGTGTAGCCGATGAGGAGGGGGTGGGCTGTGCTCTTGCCGCCTCTGTTTCTGGCTTCTTCTCCTCCGTGGCCATGGTGCTGAGGCCCACCAGGCTCCGTGGGAATCAGTGAAGAGGCTATCAACTAACCAAACTGCAGTGTGGGGCCTATAAACAAATTCTTCCTTTCAGAGTTGTTAGAGCTGGGCATGGTGTCGCCGCCTTTGCGGCCTTTGATCCCATCACCCAGGAGGCAGAGGCACTCTCTGTGAGTTCAAGGCCAGCCTGGTCTACATAGTGAGTTCCAGGCCAGCTGGGGCTACAGGGAGACTCTGTCTCAAAAAGACAAAAAAAGAGTTTGGGCTGGGGTGTAACTGCTCATTAGGAGAGCACTCACCTGGCATGCACAAAACCAAAAAATTTAAATGTAATAATTTTCTAGGGAAAAGGATGATTTAAAAAAAAAAAAAAAAAAAAACACAAGCCGGGTGTGGTGGCACATGCCTTTAATCCCAGCACTCGGGAGGCAGAGGCAGGTGGATCTCTGGGAGTTCAAGGCCAGCATGGTCTACATAGCAAGTTCCAGGGCAGCTGGGGCTACAGGGAGACCCTGTCTCAAAAAGACCAAAAAAATAAAAACATGAGCTGGCGTTGAGCCCCGCAGCAAAGACACTGACCCAAGCTGGGGCATCACAGTCACCCTGACCCCAGGCTCACTCTTCTCTTCGGATGCTCTGCTGAGATAACCTGCTCCTCACACTTTTGTGACCCTAAGAAAGACCTCTCCTCCAAGAAGGCTTCCCACTGCAGTGTTCTGATATCACAGGCATGAGTGATTTGCTCCGGAGTCCCTGACACAGTTTACAGAAAAGGCTCTGACAGAACACAGGGACAGGAGATGGACCTTCAGGATCCACAAGTGTGGGTGCTTATCAAAATCCCAAAATGCACCCGAAAGGATGCAACCATGCTAGCAGCCCCACGGGAAAGGAGGGGAGCATGCGCCTGGTGCGTGCTGGCTTCCAGACAGCCCCACAGGCTGCAGGTGTAAAGCTGCCTTCTAGAAGGCTGGCTTGCAGGGCTCTTCGGTGCAGGGCACAAAAGGACCACAGGAGCAAATCAGAGTAGCCTCTGCCTCCAGGGGTTCCGAGTCTCGCCCTCTGGAGCAGCACCCTGAAGGGCAGGAGTGAAACTGCCAAGATTCAGGCTGCAGAGGCAAAGAAGGCAGCTAATCCGCTCAGCTGGGCAGCACAGCCGCAAGCCGGGGCAGCAGCCACTGCTCCTTCCACTACGGCGACAGAGCCCATCACCTGAATGAGTCTCAAAGCATACCTGGCAAGGGAGAGGCACACTCCTCAAAGGAGAACCACAAAGACACACTTGCAAATGTCACTGGCCATTCGTCAATTAGCCAGTCATCAACCTACCAGTGTGCCCGATATCGACTCTAGCTTTGCACTGAAACCCCACAGAACCCACGTAGGAGGACAAAGACCGCCAAGACAGTGTCTCAAATGCTCAACCCTAAAGGGAACATCACAACGCACCATGCAGGGCACAAGTGCAGCTGTTTTACCTGCAGCAGACTCCTGCCAAGGCCTTCTCATGCTGTACCTCAAGCCCAGGTACAGAGAGGGAAGAGGGCAGGCCCCATAGGCCTCTCCAGGAAACAAAGTTCTAGTACCCAGGAAATGCCACCTGCTTGATGTTTTTAGACTGGCCTGGTACTCGCTGACCCTCCCTCCTGCCTCAGTCTCTTGAGTCCAGCTGATGTTACAGGCACACACCAACAACTAGGCTGGGCCTGAAGCTTATTCTTAATACAACCTGGCCATACAATGAGTTCGCACTGCCACCTTCTTTGTAGAGGGGAGCTGAAAGAGAGCTGGAGAATCTGTTTCAAAGGCACAGATATCCCAGCCAGAGAAACAACAGGGTGACAGGGCAGGGGGTGGACGAGGTGACTTGACTACGCAAGTAAGTGGCCGCCCAGAGGAATTCCTCCAGGGGGAAGGCTGTCTTTCAAAAAGCAGCCCCAACTGGCCTGAAACTTCCCTGCCTCTGCCTCCCAAGTGCAGGGAGTAAAGGCGTGGGCCACCACACCCAGCTAAGAAGCCACATATTAACATATGAAAACATCAACCACCCTCAGCACTCCGGAAGATCAGGAGCCCTACAGCTTTGAGGCCACCAGGGCTGCAGGAGACCCTGTTTCAAAAACGGGACTGGAAATGGCTCAGCAGTTAAGGGCACTAGCTGCTCTTGCAGAGGACCCGGGTTCAATTCCCTGCACCCAGCACCACTCCAGTTCCAGGGGATTCAACATCCTCTTCTGACCTCCGTGAGCATTGCAGGACACAGGTGCACTTATACAAATGCAGGCAATACACACATAAACATAGAAGATAAAAATAAAATAATTTCTTAAAATGAAGAGGAAACACTAACTTCTACTCCACTGGGTACAGTGAAGGGTGGACACGCAGGTGTTTTGGTTTTAAGGAAAGCAGGGGGTGGAATCCAGCCCTGGGAAGCAAGGTAAGCAGGACGCTCAGGGTGCAGGACGCTCAGGCTGCAGGACAAGCGGTTTGGGGTTGGCCTCCACAGCCCACAAAGAGGGTGGCCACGGGTAACACTGGCAGAGCCACAGCTTTCCACTAGAGTGAGAGACCACCGGAAGTTCTCAGGGGTGCCGATTCCAGGTTCCCACCCTATGGTGGGAGGGCACAGGTGTGGGAAGACAGCTAAGAGAGCAAAGGTAGTCAACCCACGCGAGCTCCTACCGGTCCTGCCTGGACTCCGGGACACCCGTCCTGGGCATCTCTGGCCTCACCCCGCTGTGGCGCTCACCCACCTGACTTCACTACGGCACGGCAGTACCTGCCCCAGCCAACGCCTGCAAACCCCTTGACCAGAGTGCGGCCTGGCCAGGTGGAAGACGCGAGGCAGGGGGGTGTGGGCAGCACCGGGGACCGGCAGGTCGGGCAAGCGCCCCAGGGAGACGGTGGTTCCCACGCCCGGGGGCCGCCAGCCCGAGCTAGGCCTGGCCTGGACAGGCGGTCGGGGAGCCCCGGCCCCGCGGGTCCAGGGGTGCAATGGAGCGGCCGGCGGGAAGGAGCG